CAACGGCAAAAGAAGAACCAAAGATAGTTTTCATCCTATACTTGATGCAGCAGGGAACGTGGCCACTGAGGACAAGGAAAGTGATGAGGTCCTCAATGCCTTCTTTACATCTGCCTCTAGTAGCCAGACCAGTTATCCTCTAGGCATTCTATGCCCTGATCTGAAAGTCTGGGATGCTGCTCAGAATATACCCCCAGCGATTCAGGTGGAGGCAGTCAGAGAGCTCCTCCTCCATCTGGACTGTCACAAGTCCACAGGACTGGATGAGCTGCACCCTAGGGTGCTGAGGGAGCTGGCAGGGGTGATTGCCGAGCTCCTCTCGGCCATCTATCAGCGCTCCTGATTAACGGGAGAGGTCCCAGAGGATTGGAGACTTGCTGATGCAACTCCCATCTTCAAGAAGGGCCATAAGGAGGATCCAGGGAACTACAGGCCTGTCAGCATGACCTCAGTACCAGTGAAAGTAATGGAGCAAATCATTTTGGGAGAGATCAAATGGCACATGCATGGTGTCCAGGGGATCAGGCCCTGCCAGCATGAGTTTGTCAAAGGCAGGTCGTGCCTGACCAACCTCATCTCCTTCTATGACTGGGTGACCAGCCTAGTAGATGAGGGAAGGGCTGTTGATATAGTCTACCTAGACTTCAGCAAAGCCTTTGACACGGTCTCTCACAGGTTTCTTCTGCGGAAACTGGCTGCCCGTGGTCTGGACAGGTATACGTTCCTTTGGGTAAGGAACTGACTAGAGGGCCATGCCCAATGGGTAGTGGTTAATGGAATCAAGTCCAGCTGGTGACCCATTTCAAGTGGTGCCCCCCAGGGGTCAGTACTGGAGCCCATCTTGTTTAATATCCTTATTGATGACCTAGATGACAGGATTGAGTGCACCCTCACCTCAATATGTTTGCAGATGACATCAAGCTGGGAGGTAGAGTTGATCTGCCTAAGAGTAGGGAGGCCCTTCAGAGGGATCTGGATAAGCTGGATCTCTGGGCTGAGGTTCAACAAGGCTAACTGTCAGGTCCTGCACTTTGGCCACAACAACCCCATGCAGTGCTACAGGCTTGGGGATGAGTGGCTGGATAAGTGTGAAGAAGAGAAGGACCTGGGGGTGTTGGTTGATGCTTGGCTGAACATGAGAGGTGGCCAAGAGGGCCAACAGCGTCCTGGCCTGCAGTAGAAACAGTGTGGCCAGCAGGAACAGGGAGGTGATCATCCCCCTCTACTCAGCACTGGTAAGGCTGCACCTTGAGTACTGTGTTCAGTTTTAACCCCTCACTATAGGAAGGACACTGAGGCCCTGGAGCATGTCCAAAGAAAGGCAATGAAACTGGTGAGGGGTCTGGAGCACAAGTCTTATGAGGAGCAGCTGAGGGAGCCGGGATTGTTTCTCCTGGAGAAGAGAGGCTCAGAGGAGACCTCATTGCACACTACAACTTCCTGAAGGGAGGTTAAGAGGAGTTTGGCCTCTTCACCCAGGCAATGAGCAGGACAAGGAGAAATGGCCGCAAGTTGTATCTGAGGAGGTTTAGGTTAGACATGAAGAAAAACTTTTTCTTTCAGAGAGTGGTCAGGCACTGGAATAGCCTGTCCAAGGAGGTGGTGGAGTCACCATCCCTGGCACTGGTTAAGTGGTGTTTGGATGAGGAGCTGCAAGATATGATTTCGTAGCTTGTGGCAGCAATGGTAATGAGAAGACGGTTGGACTAGATGATCTTATAGGTAGTTTCCAACCTTGTGATTCTATGATTCTATGATCTTTCTTCTTTCCTTTCTTTATCAACTCATCTATGGGCTCTAATTCATATTTTTTTTTTTTTCCCCCTAGGGTTCAAGGACACCTGCGGAGAAGAACTTGGGAGGCTCTGATGGACAAAAAAGATGAACAGGAACCAGCAGTGTGCTCTTGCAGCTCAGAAGGCCAACAGTACCCTGCACTGCATCAAGAGAGGGACAACCAGCACAGAGAGGGAGGTGATTGTCCCTCTCTACTCTGACCTTGTGAGTCTCTCCATCTGGAGTACTGTGTTCGAGCCTGGGGCCCTCAGTAGAAAACGAGAGCAGAGCTGTTGAAGTGGGTCCAGCAGAGGGCCACAAAGATTATTAAAGGGCTGGAGTCTCTCTCCCATGAACAAAGGTTGAGGGAGTTGAGCTTGTTCAGCTTGGAGAAGAGAAGGCACCAGCAAGACCTCATCATACTCTCCCAGTACTTACTTACAAGCACTAGGGAGATTGACTTTCTACGTTCTGATGATCATAGGACAAGGAATGGCTTTAAATTAAAACAGGGGAGATTTAAGTTTGATATCAGGAAAATTTATTCTTCTCAGAGGGTGGTAAGGTGCTGGAACAGGTTGCCCAGAGAAGTTATGGACGGATCTTTGGAGGTGTTCAAGGGCCAGGCTGGACTGGATCCTGGGCAACTTGATCTAGTGGATGGCAACTCTGCCCATGGCAGGGAGGTTGGATCTAGATGATCTTTAAGATCCCCTCCAACCTAAACCATTCTATGACAGAAACTGATAGAAATCCAGCCCTGATCACTAGAGAGCACATTTTTTGCTCACCACCATAATCACAAGCTCCAAAAGTTTCTTAAACCATATGATTTTATTCCTTAAAGATAAAATAGGTTGGTTTCCAAATTTTTCCCCCTAAGTTTCTGAAACAAGTGCTAAATCAAAAGAAAAAAACAAAAAACAAACAAAAAAAAAAAAAAACAAAAAAAAACACCACAAAACCTTAAGTCATTTTGAAAACAAAGCAACATGTTGATGTAAAAGACTTAGACTATATTGTCTCCTTTTCTTTCGTTAAGCAAAACACAACAGTATTTTTCAAGTTAGATGACAAAGAGGTTTTTAACTTGTACATACCAAGCTGCCACAAAAGAAATATCTGACCACTAGATGGCCTGAAGACAAATATTTTTGCAGGTTCTGCAACTACCACTAGATGGTACCTACACATCACTGGTAGATGTCAATCATCAGGCAGGAACATTAAAAAAAGAACAAAAAATATGCATTTGATTATGCTTCATTGAATAAAATGAAGTAACAAAAGCTAATTTCTGTTTTACACTTAAAATTAAGGCAACCATCTCCCAAGATCTTCGTACAAGTGCTGTACGTAACAGTCACAGAAAGAATCTGAATGAGCTCATCAAGAACAAGTTGTTCTTTCTGTGATCCTCTCACTGTAACAAAGTTCCTGATACCGTTTTCCTGCATTTTAACTACATGAGGAAACTTATTCCAGGTTCTCACTGATCTGCCACCTCTGCTTCCAGGATTTAAACATAACCCATGTAGGAAAAAAAAAAAAAAAAAAAATAGAGCTGTTCTGGAAATTTTAACTCCTGCACCCCTGAGTTTACTGTGGAACATCAATAACCAAAAATCATAAAACCATGGCATGTCATACATCAAATTTATGGTCCTTAAAAGAAGAGGAATACATCCCACACACTGTTTGAGATCTATTCCCTCTGAGTTATTTAGTTCCTTTTTCATCTAATTCTTCAATTCCCCACTCCCACAAAAAAAAAACCCACACTGAAAATGAGATCTATGTATTCAGTGAGTTGTTAACTCCTCATATAATGAACATAAATACCAAATAAACTACATAAATTCTCATACGTGAATACCACATATAATAGTCAAAATTATTTGCTTCTAGTGCAGCTTCTGCACAGCGTGATTTTAACTACCACACTCCTAGGTGCAAACTAATGTGCTTTCACTAATGATATAATAGACTTAAAACATTTTGGAGCCATCAATTCATCCACTTGACTTCCAATCGCAGTGCTAATGAGGGCCTGAATCAGGACTTGAAAGCAAGAGCAAGTTCATACAATACACAGAACCTAAACAGGTTAAATACAAATGGTTACAGAACACAGGGCAGGTGAAGAAAGGGAAAAAGAAATTGAAGATATCCCTTCACCCCTCAAGATTGGACCCTTTTTATGGTCCAATTACAGAAACCGATTAGGATACAAAAGTCATTTTGTCACCAAACAAATATCTGTATATTTGCTATGTGAGATAGACCAATTATTCTCCTTCGAAGACACAATCCCCAAGCTGTGCATTATATATGAGCAAGAACAAATTTTGAAGTTCTATAACCTGCATCTCCAGTCATGAAATCGGTAACTAAGATAGACATAAAAGGGACGTGAACTAAAATGAAATTCAGGTTGAAAGGCACGAAGAGGATTTTAATGAATGATCAGCTTTCATCCTGATGACTGCTAGGAAGAATGGCTGCATCCCCCACCCCAAACTTTTACACAGGTTCATTTCAGAACAGGGAAATAGCCTTAAAATTAGAAATAATCATGTAATTAGTGAAACTGAAGCAACTTTCTTCTGCAATTAACTTCCAGTGGCTAAATCTAAATTTACTCAACACAGCAGGTAAAGTACAAGGCAAAGAATGCACAGCATACAGAGACAGTGCCTGAATAACTGGTGAAGTAGTGCTGGCTGTAACCAGAGACTATCTGAAAACTCTACATATTTATGCACTAGCAGGTAGTTCAATCTGAAGTTAAGCATAGCTGCAATTGTTCCACAAGGCCACATGCAGCTACTTAATTCACTCTACTAATACAGGCAACTTTTATACAGCACACTCTTTCTCAAATTTCTTCTACCTTAAAGTTGCCAGGTCTCTGTGATTCAGCCTTTAGAGCTGGTTGTCCAACTGGAAGACAACAGAACTACTCAACTTATAATAAAACAGTACAGTCTTTATGTACCTCAGAACAGTGATTATTTTTGTCCCCTAATATGCAAAAGGTGTCACAAGAAAAAAAGCAAAACACTGGCTACATCTAAAACAGGATGTACTTATATCTGCATACAGGTAAAAAAAAATAAATACAGTACATTAACGCAGTTTTATCACAGTTACTTTTTATATTCCATAGAAATAAGGTACAATTAAGAGATACCTCTATAGGTCTGGGATACAAGATAACTTACTGAAAAATGCCAACATGAAGATGCCATCATTGCCCACTCTAAGCTGATCTGCATCACTGAAATCATCCCGTGGTGGATACTCTTCTTCCTGGATTTACAGGTTAGTGATAATTTAGTGAAAAGTTTATTTTAGAATAACTAACTGTAGGATTACAGTATTAATCATGTTTCTAAATCTAGAAAAGAACTGACATTTCTGTAACACGTCCACATCAAGGAACTTGAAAGAAAAATATCTGTAAACAAGGCTTATGTTACTTATGTTGACAGAGCACGGATTTAACAGTTTCTGTAGAAGATACTGTCTATACATCTTAACTACAAATTGTTTCCAGTGACTACTTTGACAATCTAGACCAATAAAATCCTCTCTTATTATATTTATTTTAATACGCAGCCAAGTTGTTACTAATAATTTTTTTCCAAAAGTTTGTGTTTTATTTTTTTCTCTAACAGAATAATCTTTGAATGCTTTGAGTTAAAGAAAAAGGATTTAGAATAAGGTTAGACTCTTAAAAATGCTGATGCAAAAGCACAGCACTAATCCATTTACACATTATCCTACAAACCACTTTAAAATATATGCAAAGGGAACAACACCTGTAGAGACACTAGAGGGCGTGAGCACATTAAAATTGCTTAAATATCTGAACTCAGAAAATACCTAAGTTAAACAGAAGTAAATGGATGACAGTCAAAACAGTGCAGAAATTTATCTGATCATGTCAAAATACTAAATCTTAACACACTGAAAGTATATGTCTGTACTGTTTCTCAATATCTTCAACAGGACTTGGAAGATCTAATTCACGTACAGCTGTGTGGGCTAGGAAACCTAAGTTTCCATCGCAACAGATTTTTAAAGAGTCTAATGAAAACTGCAGAAAACAGCTAAACATTATGTCAAATGAACAACAGCAAAACAAAGCAGTGTAATAAGTTAAATAACGGCTGTCAGTAACAGTAGCAATGCAGTCTGGGCAGAAACATGAGAAACTTCTATTTACTTTTCCTCCACTTTTTCAACAACTGGTCATAATGACTTAGACTTGAAGTAAGAAATACCATATTAAAAATAATGAAAAATAAATTGAGCTTAAAATGAGATTTAGCTGTTTTACCCAGAGCAAACAATTGCTAATGAAATAATGTACTTCTTACTCTCGTGATTATGATTTTAACATATTATCCACTCACTGTATCAGTGGCTACTTTGCATGTATCTCTACACATACATCTATTCATAAGTAAAAGATAATTAAAAATACCAATGATCTGTCATGCAATTGTCATATACACTTTTGTGAACAGTGCAAAAAAATCTACCACAGTGTAGTGATTCCAGTTAAGTTTGCTAGAACAAACTGTACCAACTCCAGACAGCCACTATTAACCTTTATTAACACGGTCATGAAGTTCCAGTTGCTATCTTCCATTTCAGTTCATTTATCACGTCTTTGTATCTCAAAAAAATATTAACACACTATTGTTTGTAAGGACAATTGCAATTAAATCACAGAGTTGAACAGCAACCTTAAGAGAGTATAATTCAGCTCCAGGTAATTTCAAATGTCTTTAAGTGGTCACCTTATGCAGCCATGAAAGCGTTAGTTTATTTAGCATGACTTTGCTGCAGCTGTAAGACTAGTAGGGGAAGGGAAGGAAAGGGAAAGACTGAAAACACATTAAACAAGAGGTTACATGTGAAATGCTTATATTTAAAATTCATATGCCTCAGAAGCTTTTTTCCAAGTTTTAGCAACAAAAGCTTTTGATTTTAATTTCATAAGGTCTGTAAAACCCCATTTTTTCCCCTTAAGTTGTTTGCTAGCTGCTCCATCTCACACTGGCTTTTACAAATCAGTTCACCAACTCAGTCTTACCCTTCGCGAAATGATCTTGCTTAGTTACAGTAAAAAGTTTAACATATTCATCTATACACACATTACTAAGGCTTGTATATGGAAGAAACGTGCATCAGTATATGGTCTAGGGACATGAAAACAGGCACTTGCACTAAGTATGAGCAACTTATTCATCGTACTCCATGCCAAAATGGAATCACGGTGGGCTATGTTCTATTTACTGTCTTCAAGAACCAGCCTTTTAAAGTGATCGGAATCTTCAATGAAATGAAATAGTGTTCTACCTTTAAACCATATTCAGCACATATCTATTCACATAATACTTGGTTTTATCACTGGTCCCAGAGACTGAATACATTAACTGTCCTCTGCTCAAGCCTCACAAATATAGGTTGCCCTTCATAAACCAGTGTTCTCATTATACTTAGTGTCAAAACTATCACTTTCTTCAGAGTACAATTGCTTGCCACCTGTTTGGTTCCAATTTTTGGAAATGAAAAGGGACAACGCAAAATGACTGTCCTCTCAAGTGATGATTAGAAACTCAATAGTTTCATAATAATACTTTTATTAGATACTGATATTTTACTCGATAAGAATAACGTTATGCTTATGTTTATATTCTTAATGTGAATGTCACTGATATCCTAGTGCTATATATGTACACACACACACAAACATAAATATGCACACAGATTGCTAAAAAAAAAAAAAAATCAAAAAATCCTTTCTTCAATATCTTTCATTGATTTTTGACAAAATAGTTCTATTAACGATCATGGATAAATTCATTTTGATTGCTGGACATGCTGCAATTTGTATAAACAGAAAATTTAATATTCCTGTGACCAGGAAAATGGTTAAACAGCAAAATATATCATCAAGATGAATGATATATCACACAGAGGAATTTCTATAAGCTAAATCTATAAGCTGAAGAACATCAAAAGGTACACAGCATCTAATTAAGTCAAATCTATTTGCTCCTCCAGAACCACAGTGCTCTCTGTAGCTATTTATGGAAGAGAAGGCTGCTTGTTTGTTTACACCAACCCCCAATGACTTTGTAACATCTTTTTAACTGAAACCTGGCATGGCATACAGTGAGACAGCCATCTTTAATCAAGGAAGGAATTGGAGTTTTCAGGAACCTGTTGGATAACTGAACTGATAAAAAACTGTTCCCAATGCAGAAGGCTTACAGAGAAAAACTAAAAAGAAAAAATGATTAAATAACTTGGAAAAACACATAAATTGTATTTTCAGCATACAAAACAAAAAGGAAAACTTAATGACGAGAGGGGGAAAAAGGGCATGATGAAACCCAGGAGCATTTGTATGCCGGTAGGAAAATTCACAAGTAGAGTCTAAACTAGAGAGAACTAATACCATACCTCGGGACGACTGTGGAATATTTCATCAAACAGACTCCTAGACTCCCTAAACTGGGCGTGCTAAGCATGTAAAAACAGAAAAACATAAGACAAACGCAACTAAAGAGCATTAAATAAAAGCAATGCATTGCAACGTACAAGTCATTTACCTGTGAGCAGTATGTTTGCATGTTTAAACTAACCTTTGAAAACTGACATCGAGAATAAAAAAAGGCAAACATGAAAAGTCAGTTTATATATATATATAATTACTGCTATCACAAGTGATGACAAAGGATTCCTACAATTTCTTTGATATGTTGAGCACATAACTAGGAGCATATGAAAGAAATGAATGTTTACACAATCTATACCCCCCCATAATGTCCCTATCTCATTCAGGAAAAAAAAAGTATGAAATCTAGTTCATTAAACATTTTTTTATGCAGTTTTCCTCTCTTCTGGAAAATTAATAGGCTTGTAGCCTTCTTTGCTGTACATTTTAGAGTATATCATGAAGGGATTATCAGCTTCATGTATTGCTCAAGGTAACATAAGCTCATCTAACATTTTAAACTGTTTGTGTTATTGTGGCGAAGCTGCAAAATATCCTCATTCAACAAGCAAGAAGTTACAAGCAGAGCTCTTAGCACAGTGCACTATCTTAAGAGCTCTGATTCCATAAACCTGAAAATTAGAAATCGAAAAGCAATATTTTTTGTGTATGTTTTTCAAAGCATGTAATAAGTAACTTAAACATTGCATGCAGATGCCATTGACTGTAATCTCAAAGTAAAAGCAATAACTAATTACAGACCACTAGTGCAAAGTTCAAGTGACTTAATTGTTCTTCTGCAAGTACTCAGAGCTCAGAATCAATATCTTTAATATCTTTCCCCTCAGGATGGCAAATCATCACACTAACCATTATGTGACATTTTCCATAGCCTTAATATTATTTCATTAATACAGCTTCTGCGTGCACTTAAAGGAAAATAAGGAAAAGAATAAGTGAAATGATCAGAAACCACCAAACTTGAGATCCTTAGCAGTCAGCAGGACTTAACACTTTTAGGTAAACTGAGAAAGTTTCTGATATTAACAGTACTGACTTAATCTACAAATCATTTAGCAAGTTTCTGCTTTCGGGAAATGATGGTATGTTCCTACTGATTTTTCCTGAGTAGGTGAAATTTTTATGAATTTCATTAAGCATCAGCACTTATTTCCCAAGTTATTCTGTGTGCTTTGGAAAACAACATATACTGTCAGATTTTATGCAAAAGTTCATTTATTAATTCATCACCATATCTTACAATCCTATCTCTGAAATCTAGATTCCTGCCCCTTGCCTCCATTTTACCTGTTTTCCTGTCTTGACAATTCGTTCCTGACTGTTCAACTAAGTTTTACTAATGCATTTGATTTTTTACTATTCTCATATTGCATAATTTCCAAATAGAGTTATTTCCCTTCCTCAGCTCCAAAAAGTGTCTGCTCACAAAGCAACACAAACCTCCTAAGCTCAGTTTATTCTGTTCCTTCTCACTTCTCCTTAAGACCACTCTGTACTTTTTACACATTTGGACTTACATTCAACCTTGTTTTTTCTCATTTCAACTCAGACTCATCCTCTCTCATCCTGCCTGTGTTCATTTTGTTAGCAAAGCCAGATCTAGACTTCTCTTCCCACAACATGCAAGCTTCAGAGTCTCAAGATCTTTGTCCTGCTTTGTTCTACCTACTGCTGACATCCTTGTGATTGAGTCAAATTGCCTTTCTCTTCTCTACTGATCAAAGGCCAAGAATAATAAAACTATCCATGGCACACCAGAAACTCACAGTTTCAGTACTGAAAGTATTTAAGGGCAGTTGTATGACCTATCTTTTTTTGTTTGATAATCCTGTTCTGATATAGGACATCTGCAAACACTCTTTGGAGACAACACATCTGCAGCCCCATTTCCTGCAGTCTGAACTTGTTCATGGGAGACTCTCTCCACAAATTTAGTAATTCTAAAGCTCTATGTATCAAGTGTGGAAACTCATTTTTCAGTAACTTATGTTGGCCAAAGCCGTCAGATTTTCTGAGGCATGGTAAAAGATGTTTCCAACACAAAAAAAATAAATCTAAATCTGTGACAATTAGAGCACTTCAAAATAAAAGGCTTAAAAACAGAAGAAGAAAACCAGTTTTACTTAGATCTATTCTTAAGTAGGCTATACCTCAGCTTCAGGCTTCCCTCCCACCCCCATTTAAATCCAGGTCAGAGACAATTGCATCTATGCCTAAAGCTTCCGCTTCATAGGGTCCCAGATCTACAAAGTTAGAAGCAAAAAGAGTATTGCAAGAGTTGCACATGCCCCATCAGAAGTATTATAAGACTGGTAACAGTACCCATAAAATTAATGTTTCAGTTGCTAACATCTCAAATAAATTTAAAGTTCACTGACTGAAATCAAGGGCTACATTCAGACCAAAGACAACTTCTACTTAAGTTGCAAGCACTAACAGACTAGATATAATCCATGCTTCTGTTAAAAGGTTACAAAATCATTGCCTCCTAGCAGGAGCTTGGCAAGAAACCATGCAAATATTTTGCATTCACAGCTACATTTAGTAAAACAGACTTGTGTAGCACCTCCAATGGTGATGTCACATAGACCTATTTTAACTATAGCTGCGTCTACCTCTAATTGCTGTGCACTGTGATTACTGCATGGCAATCAAGGAAGAAACCAATTCCAGCTGCACAAGCTGAAGTTTTCCATTCAAAAACATGCTGTACTTGACTTGTACAACCCAGTTAGGAAGATTTTAAATGCATCTCAAACTCAATCACCTTAAACTCAAGGTGTAGATCTATAGAGAAAGCTCTGGAAGCCCAATTTAATTATGGCATATTACAATCAATCCTACCAAAAAAAAAAAAAAAAAAAGCAGCAGAATTTCAAAGAAAAAAATAATGTCATTGACTGTTTATAAAACTAACTTAATAATTGGAAATGTGAATTGAGAGGGATTTTGTTTGTTTTTCAGTTTTTTTGTTTAGCTTCTGCTTTTATTTTGAAGACTGCATTCATTATGACATTAATTCTTACAAAACTCTACGTACTGAAAGCACACCTATTAATTTACAGTTTACCATACTTGTAGCATGTGACTTTTTTCTTTAAGTACTTGGAACATTTCTTCCAACTTGTCATGGTTTTCCAGTATTTAAGTTCTTCAAGAAACAAATAGCAAGGACTTATCTTTTACAAAGATCTACTGTTGGGTGTTTCAACTCTTCCAGACAATGAGAATTTCATTCCTTTCTGAAGTTCTGCTTATTTTACTAACTTTTTTTTTTTTTTTTTTTAAGCATATGAAACACTCAATATCAGCACTAGTTCTAGAAATTGACATTATCAGTGGATGTTTAATTAAAAGATGACAAGATACTGAATAAACTACCAAAACAGGGCAATGGATGGTATTTCAGAAATATTTAACCACCTACTAAGCCTCAAGAGCGCAAACACTGTACAACTTCTCTAGTAGTAACTTACACTACCTATAAAAAAATGAATGTATAAAAAAATTAAAGCCACCTGCCCATCATTATTTTTTAGTGAACAGGCCATGAGATGGTCCTTATTATTATAAATCATTAGATTAGTCTTACAAGTTCTATAAAGTTGAAACAAAGAACTGCTTTACTTACACGTTGGGTAACTTCTGCTGCAGCAGCTGCCATCGCTGCAGCTTTGGCCTTCTCTGCTTCATCGTAAGTAGGAAGAGAGGTAGCTACACTGTATGGAGGTGGTACAGGATAAAATTCATTGTGTGTTTCTGTTCAAAATAAAGAGGTCATTACGCATTTTTAAACTAGAAAGACATTAAAAAAATAAGATTTAAGAGCACAAACTACTGAACTTTAAAGTGCATTCTTTCAAGAGGCTGAAATTCAAATTTGTAGCTCAATTTCTTAGAATTTTTGAGAAAAAAATGTATTTTTATAGAATTAAAGTGAACAAGTTAGTTTAATTGCTTTTTAATCTTGATGCTACAAAGATCAAACAAGTTAGGAAAAGAATTCATGAGCCTAGTTGTATGTTCAGGTATTCCAATCAAGTCATTTTATCATACAAGAGACATGCGAAGAAATATATTAAAAAAAATTGTTTAATCAACATTAAAGACCTAGGTCAGAGTAATTCTGAAACATTTACTTGGTGAATGTGAAATGCAAATTTAGGCAACTATGCTTAAACAAGGACTTTGATGTTGTCTGCTGTTAAGCCTCCTATACCCTAAAGGAAAGTCACAACCTCATCAGAAATGGAGTAGTGAATAAAAAGCTCTACATTTTTTATTCTAATTTTCTTCAGGAACATTTAAAGCAAAACCCATCTTTTCATGGCAGTATTTTCCACCACGCATGGCACATCCTTTGGCTTTCAGGGCAGGGTGGAGGTGGCAGTTAAAAGAGTAATAAAAATTGCTAATGAGGTCTCATAATGAGCAGTGAAGTACATAGATTAAATGTAGAACTGAACTACACACAGACTTAAATAAAAGCTAACCATTACACTAATTAATGAACAACCCTTTAGTCAAGTAATTTGGAACAATCAGCATAATTTAGAAGCATGCTTCTTCTGAACAAATTTAACAAAGGGCTGTGCATGAAAGCCTCACTTCTTGCTGCAATTGCGTGCGCAGAAAAAATACTGCAGCACGTACCAGGTTGATCAAGTGCTGATTCATACACACGCCTCTCTGACAAGCTGTTGTATGTAAGAAAAATACCTGAGGTTGCAGCTGCTTCTACGCCTATGCTACAGTAAGGTGGTGGGGAGGTATCTGCTTCAGATAAGGCTGCTGTCTGAGGAGTCTGTGTCGTCTCTGTAGAAGTAGAAGGCTGCTCAGCCACTGAAGATTCAGGAGGGTCATCCTCATTGTGAAGCTTAAAAGAAAAACACACAAGAGTCATGGAGATAATTGCCTGATAACTTTGAACTTGCAGACCTATCAAGAAAGAAAAACACTCTTCAACAAAGCCAAAAATTATTTACAAACGCAGCCTGCGATCACTAAGGAACCCAGTGAAATACTTCTTAAGCAAACAGTCAAAAGCAGCCTTAAATGACTCTTTCTTTTCCCTTCTTCCAGAAACGGGTAACTTCTGCTCAATGTGATGTTCACATAAATTTAGAAAATTGCATTTTTAATGTTATCTCTATAGGAAAGTGAATGTTTAAAATATTAGGAAGATAGAAAGTAGTTTAAAGTTTATTTTTTCTTGCATTCGTTCGTAAGAATATTTTACTCCATTTTAAAATACAAAAAATGAGCAACGCTATTTTTTGATTGCTTCTCCATTGCTACAGTAAAAATAACACTACTTGCATAAGTGTGACCTTTCTATTCTTGTATTTCATCAAATAACTTCATCCAAATTCTTTCTAAAACATTCTGCATTTTCTACACTCTGGAAAGAATCCTTCTATAGAACTTGAACTTGCTTGGACTTTTGCTTCTTTAAATATAGCTAAAAAAGGATCTATACAGTTAAGCTTATGGGAAAATGAGAATTAGAATAAGCAAGAACAGTAATTAAAACCATCAAATTTAGATCCATCAACTTACAGATCTTTTCTTTATGACAGAATGTCTGATTATTTTTAGCTAAATTTATACCATTTAGAATATTACGAGTAGTACACACTTGGAACAAAATAAGTACTAGTATATACTAATGTTCATGCTAGCATGAACACCACAATGCCTAGAGAACTACTACTGAAGCACCCATATTTAAAACTCAAGTCAGATGAACACACTGAAGAGATCTAAGACTGAAGAGGTTCTGTTTTCAGGAACTAAAAACCATCTTACAGAATATAGTTGTTCTAGCAAAAATAATAATAATAATTATTATTATTATTAAGAGTATGGGTCATTTTTCCATTAAATGAAGTGCAATCAAATTATTGGAAAAGATTACTTTCAGAAGAGCGCTCAAAAAGCTTTGCTAAGTAGTGCCATACTCTTACCAATAATTTCTTTATATCAACAGTTCAAAGTTCTGGAGGTTATAAATTCTGTGCTATTCTTTCTAGACTAGTGATAACAGAAATTAGAAGCAAATACGACATTCTACAAAAGGCACGTAAATTAAAAAGATAGTTCAAAGGAAATAAAAAAATACTTCAGAAGAATTTAATGAAGTAGTTTATTGCAATTTTCATTTGACTTCTGGTACAAATACTCTCTCCAAACGTGTCAAAAGTCAAAAGGGATAGTTATTTGTTATAGCCTTCTTCCATGAACTCCCTCAAAAACTGTACTCTGAGAATAACAACTTAAATAGAGAAGGCTTTACCTAAACATGAAGTACAAGATTAAGCTATGCAAGCATAAGCAAGCTTATGTAAGTTTCCACATACATCAGCATATGCATAAGTACATACACACATACACACACTAATCACAAGCACAGACTAATAAAGAAAGGTCACTTTCAAAAGAACTGATAGAGGTTATTGCATGTTTTTGGGTACTGAGCAATTAGGTCATTTAACATCTAATCAGCGATCCAGAAAAAGCAGTAAACTGAGAAATATGCAAAGCTATTCATAGTAGTTAAGGTCAGAGAAAAGAAAACCATTTCAAAATAACCTAATATATTTAGGGATACAGAAAGCACGTGAGAAGACAAAACACTTGATTCTAAAAAAGATAAAACAGGTCAGGAAAAAAATAGAAACATGGTTCTAAATTAAGTACAATCATTCACAAGAAAAATCCAGTGCTGAAACAGATACAGTCAACAAAATCACTTTAAAATAAAGTTGTAATTAAATTAGTAATGAGACAAAGAAAATTACTACCCTTTTTTGTTAACATCTGGTACATGAAATATCAAAAGGTATTTGGGATACATGTTACTGGTGTACAGACAAGCAAGCAAAAAAAAAAAAAAAAAAAAAAAGGGCAAGCAAAAAAGCCTGGGTAATAGGCTTCTGTTGGTTATCTTCATTCCTCCTCTCCTCTCCTCTCCTCTCGCCCTCCATTTCAGTAAGTGTTCTGGTATTTTATTTCCCTCCCCGTCAATGCACAGTTTGTGCTCTGACCACACTACAGATGCACAAAGATCCACAACACCCACTGGGCAAGGAGCACATCACTGCTCAGTACTCATTTTGCCTTCACCAGGAAAAAACTAATTTTATCTCTTCCGCCTTATTTCTTGGAAGCTACTTTTTTCCAAACTTGAGATTCAGAAGCACTTACAAATGACAGAGGCAACATTATAGTGGGAGAATATGCAACTAATATTTCTTTCCTTCATAGATAGCATTAACAATGCATTCTGTTGTAATAGGAAGATTAACTAATAAGCAGAGGAACTCCATACTAAAGGCTCTATTCAAAAGAGTCCTGTTATGACCTGTAGTGCACAGAAAGGGCACAGTTCTGGTCTTTATTCTGTATGACTCATAAACAGGGACTAAACATTTCAATTTATCCTGTAATCTACTCTACAGATCTGTCAGACATTCTGTAGTGTATCAAGTTTGTTGTAATGCAACAGCTGTATGCCATAGACAGCATATATTTTTAAGTAAGATTCCTATAATACCTACAATAATGTGCTGTTGAAATTAAATACATATTACAGATCATTTTACAAAATGGGAAACGGTATCTTTTAAATGATGTATAAAATCTATTAGTAAAGTCTGCCATTGGTATTTTAAGCAAGCTAGAGTAAACATGCTCTACTTGAATTCACTTCATCAGAAAACATAACTCTAATGGTGTCAGTGTTTTGCACAGGGCATTACCTGTTGTTATATTATATTCCAGTGCTTTTTAAAAAAAATCTGAAACATCATTCTGTCAGCAAAAGAACAACTTAAGCAGAGAGAAAGGCTGTCTTCTCAGGCTTTGTTTGGTGGGACTTTTCCTTTTTTTTTTTTTTTTTTTTATAAAAAAAAAAAGGCTTATGGATAGAAGCACACGTCAATTTCCTCAGTAAAGGGCTCTTAACCAAACACCATCTTCTGGCTCATAATCTCTTTAAAGTGTCAGTGGATTTCAGGTATTGCAGGTATCTGATTACTTTGGAAACAACTACACAAGAAAAAAAAAAAAAAAAAAAGAGGATTTAAGGAAAGGAAGAGAAGGAGTACTTGCTTAAAGAAGTGATTTATGATGAGAATGAAATGCTAAAATGAAGATAACCATATTTCCCACAATATTTAGATACAGAACCTCTGGTAGTCTCCAGACATTTTGAGCTGCTGTCATCAGAAGAGCCATTGCTTTTGTATCTAGCACTGAATTTTAACTGTGCTAAGATAAATACAGCTTGAAAAACGCATGCATTATGACTCCTCAGCCTTCAGTGTGCTGTAGTTCAAGGGCTGTGAAAGCAGGGGTTGAAACACTTTGCATATAGATTTAATTTCTCTCAAGCTATAAAATATTCCTTTTTAATCGTAAAGCTCATGTTGTCAGCCAGATACAATGTATACAAACTAAGATGTAAAGCACCTTCATCATGGCAAAAGCAGCTGTAATGCTTACAACTCCACAATTTTTTTTAGCAGATGAGCTGTAACTTCTCCGTACTCTTAATTAAAATAGCAGGAAAAGTAATCTTACTACTGGAAAAGTTTCCAGGCCTCTCTCTCTTTTTTTTTTTTTTTTTTTAAACTTGTAATGCTAAATGCTGAAAAGGTACATAGCTTAAGTAATACCTCAAACAGACATTTTCTGTTTCCTTCTGAATATATTTTAGCTTGGTTTCTATGGAAATGAAACCTATGCGGCATGTTAGGCCCCTTCTTCCCCTGCCTCCAGAAATAACTTCTAAATTTATCAGCCAGCATAAGCCAAAATTAAACAAGAAGGGAGAGGCTCAAGGAAAGTTGGGTTCCTACAGATTTCAAGTGAATTGGTGACACGCTAGAGGAGGATCAGCGCCCCGTGAGCGAGGCAGGTAAAAGTATTGATGCTGTCTTCTCACAAGTGCCTACCCTGTTGGCATAAGCAGAACTTCTGGCCTACCCAGAGCAGGTTCTGCTTTTTGTTTTTGTTTGTCTTCCTCTGGAGTATAACAAGAAGAGAAAAGCTGAAGTTACTGCCTTGAGGAGAGAGCAGGAAACAGCACTTGATTCCCCACTAACAAAAGCTAGGTTCTGCTCTTGGAATGACTAGTGTTTATCACTCTAGCTGTAAATACTTACAATTCTTAAGCTACTTCTCACTTCAATTTTACGTTGGAGTATTCTGTAAGGAGCCATCAAACAAGCCTGTTTTTTCTGTTTTCTTTTATACCTTTATTATCAATGCATTTGAGCGAAGCCTGAGTTTTAGGTAAGCTTACTGCATAAGTTTTAGGAGTAATTGTTCTGCCTGGGCCATCAGAGATCTTCAACAGCATTCTCACCTGCATGATATTATTACTACATTCTTCAGTAAGCTTGGCTTCCAGTTTGACCTCACGCTGATCAACTCACGAGTTCTTTCCAATGGTGTTCAAACAAATACAAAACATAAAAGCTCCATAACACTAAGTCTTACATCATGCTTCAAATGGATATAAGATCACGTGAGTTCAAATTCTGTATGCTAAGCCAGTCAATTGGTACACTTGCTCTACAAAAAACACTCACAGCAACGGAGGTTCATCGTTTTCCCTGAGCAGAAGTTAACACCTCTACATTTATCATTTCCTAAAGTTTCAGATGGCAAAAGGTCAACCAGAACTATCCACTTACCACAGCTTCTAGTGCTGCAGAGGACTTATCTTAACACTGCCTCTGCAGTGCACGACAACTATTTCAACACTTCTGCATTAGTTTCAGGGTCTCTTCCATACTGCTACACAAGCATTTGTTCCGCAAGAATTTGAACATATTAAATATTAAGAGATGGAACCAACAGTAGGTTCAG